AACTCCAGCTCCAGAGGATCTGATGCCCTCTTCTGACCTCCTTGGGCATGAGACAGGCACATGGTATATGTGGTGTATACATGGAGACAAAATGCTTACACTCATAAAATAAATAAAATCTGAAAGTTTCTTATTGTGTTAGTGATTTATTTTTGGGTTTGGTAGGTTGATCTTGTATAGCAACCTTGCTGAATACACCTGCTGGTTCTAATGGTCTTTCTATCAATTTTATTTAGTTTCTTTTCTATTTATTAAGTTTTATTATTAGTTTGTGTTTATGTGCCTGCATATGCACGTGCACTCGGCGTGTGAGCACACACACCCACACACCACACACCCATACACACACACTGGAGCCTGTATGCACATGGTTTCTCTTTGTAGCCCTGGTTGTTCTGGAATTTGCTCTGTAGACTAGGCTGGCCTTGAACTCATAGAGATCCACGTGCCTCTGCCTTCTCAGTGCTGGGATTAAAGGGGTGCCACCACCATCCAGCAAGATTTCTTTTTTTTTTTTTTTTTTTTTTTGTTTTTGTTTTTCGAGACAAGGTTTCTCTGCGTAGCTTTGCGCCTCTCCTGGAACTCACTTGGTAGCCCAGGCTGGCCTCGAACTCACAGAGATCCGCCTGGCTCTGCCTCCCGAGTGCTGGGATTAAAGGCGTGCGCCACCACTGCCCGGCAAGATTTCTTTTTTTAAAGACAGAGTCCTACTGTGTAGCCCTTGATGGTACAGAGGTCCATCTTCCTGAGTGCAAAATAGATCAAAGCATGTACCACCACACCTGGCTGTTTATTTTATTGATTTTTTAATGTGTACGGATGTTTTGACTGCATATATGTCTGTGCGGCACGTGCATTCAGTGGCCTCAGAAGCCAAAACAAGGCTTTAGATCCCCTGGAACTGGAATTATTGACAGTCGTGAGCCACACTGTGAATGCTGGATTCAAACCTGGATCCTCTGGAAGAGCACAAACTCATTCCTCCAGTCCTCTCCTGCTTTTTGACAAATTTCCAACTATGGTACATTCCAGCTACCCATCCATTTGAATTCTTGGGTTCTTGCATTTAACTGTTTACTAGAGAGAGGGAAAAAATCCACAGTGATGTTCACTGGTAACACTAGAGTAGTAGTTCTTTTTTTTGTTTTTTCTAGATAGGGTTTCTCTGTGTAGCCCTGGCTGTCCTGGAACTCACTCTGTAGACCAGGCTGGTCTCAAACTCACAGAGATCCACCTGCCTCTGCCTCCCAAGTGCTGGGATTAAAGGCATGCACCACTGCCACCTGGTGACTTTATTTATTTTTTAAATATTTATTTATTTATTTATTTATTTATTGAGACTATATAGTCCTGGCTGGTCTGGAATTTGCAGTGTAGCCCAGGCTGGCCCTGAATTCACAGAGATCCTCTTTGGCTACATTCCCCAGCTCTTCTATTAGTTTTTCTAAAGTTTTTAGTTAGTTTGTTTCGTTCTTTACTTTCTGTCTCTAAAACATGCTATGCACGCTCTGTACTACTAAAGTGCTCTCTGTTTCTTGGGTATTCTAATCCATTTATCCCACTCACCTTCCTCTGTCCAGCTAACAAACTCTGTCACCAGTGAGTATCACTGTGCTTTTCACCCCCTCCCTCTGGTATACCCGAAGGAAACCACTGACTGAAAGAACACAAGAACCCAGATGGATAGCTAGAGTGTGCCACAGTTGGTACCTCTGCCTCCCAAGATGAAACAATAAAGGTGTGAGCCACCACTTCCAGCTTAGTGTCATCCTGAGGTGTGGCAGAGGGGTCTGGTGACATCTAATCTCACTAACATCATTAGATCTCAGGATGCTGTTAAATATACGATACCACCCACAACAGCAAAGACTTTCTAGCTCCTAATATCAACATTGGTAACAAGGAAATCCCTTTTTGCCTGATGGCTTGAGCCTGTAATCCCAGCACCAGAAAGGCAAGTGGCAAGAATGCTGTGGTAAGTTTGGGGCCATCTTACCCTACATAACGAGCGCCTGGCCAGCCAGGCATGCATGGTAAGATCCTGTGGCACACACCTTTAATCCCAGCACTTGGGAGGCAGAGGCAGGCGGATCTTTGTGAGTTCGAGGCCAGCCTGGTCTAGAGAGCGAGATCCAGGAAAGGCACAAAGCTGCACAGAGAAACCCTGTCTCGGAAAAACCTAAAAAAAAAAAAAAAAAAAAAAAAAAACCACCAAAAAAGCCAGGCATGGTGGTTCATACCTGTAATTCTAGCACTTGGAAGCAGGAGAGTCATGAAGTCCAGGCTGCCCTGGCCCACGAAACACGACCATGTCTCAAAAGAAAGTAAACAAAAGAAAACAAAACAAACATAATCCTGCTTCAAATCGATGACTGAATTCCAAAGAGGTGATCAACACTGGGCCTTTGCTCTTGCTCTCCTTACTTATATGATTCCCTCATGACTGACTCATTAACAGTCAGTTGCTCAGAAAGTCTCCCCGATCTCACTGGAGATTGGACCCAACCTTATACATTACCTTATTTCATTGCCTTCAAAACAAGCAGCAGTTTATGGCTTTATTGCCTTGCTTCCTCCTTTATTTCTGGTAGAAAATAAACCAGATGAGCACAGTGTCCTTATCTGTCTTGTCTACCAGTATATCCCCAGGGTTAATTACAGTGCCCAGTACATTTATAGGCACTCAGAAATCACAGAAGGGGCAGTGGATGAAGATTGTTTTCAGAATTCACTCATTGGTAATACAAATCTAGACACGTCTATACTTTACAGTGCAGCAGGGAACTTGATACTCAATCCATAAACACACAAAAGTAGTTTCAGACTATGATAAGAGTCTTGAAAGGAAAGTACAGGTAACCAGGGGAGCCCTGGGCAGATGACCTGACTCAGCGTGGGTGGGGTAGTCAGGCCAGGCTTCCTAGAAGAGAGTTGAACCAAATGCTGAAGGATGACTGTTAGCTGGGTAAGGAAGGTGGGTGGGGTAAATGGATGAGGGCACTCAAGCATAGAGAACAAAGGGTGCTGTCGTGGGGTAGAACATGCACAATACGTTTTGGGGACAGAGAGAAGGTCAGTATAGCTGAGGGAGAAGGTAGATCTGTCAGTAGTCGGGAGTGCCACTTGGGTGGTGTAGCTCAGTGGCAAGAACACTTGCGTGAGGCACTTGGGTTCAACCACAACAATGGAGAAAAAGAAAATCGGCCTCTGACTGATTTTTATTTTTAATATTTATTTCGTTATTTTTATGTGTATGCATCTGAGTGTATGTGGGAGCCGGAGGAGGTCAGAAGAGGCATTGGAACTTGGCATGGTGACACACTCCTCCTTCTTTTTTTTTTTTTTTTTGAGACAGGGTTTCTCTGTGTAGCCCTGACTGACTTGAAACTTACTCTGTAGACCAGGCTGGCCTCGAATTTATAACTCAGAGATCCAGCTGCCTCTGCCTCCCAGAGTGCTAGGACTAAAGGCATGTGCCACCACTACCTGGTAAACTCCAGCTCCTTTAATCCCAGTACTCAGTTGACAGAGGCGGGAGGATTCTTGTGAGTTCAAAGCCAGCCTGGTCTATATAGTCAGGACAGCTAGGGCTACAAAGACCTTGTCTCAAAAAGCTGAAAAAGTAAAATAATAATAATGATGATGATGATGAAGATGATTCTAGGAGAGGTGGTGGCGCACGCCTTTAATCCCAGCACTCAGGAGGCAGAGGCAGGCGGATCTCTGTGAGTTCGAGACCAGCCTGGTCTACAGAGTAAGTTCCAGGACAGCCAGAGAAACCCTGTCTCGAAAAGAAACAACAACAACAACAACAAAAAAAAAAAAAAAAAAAAAAGGAGGGAGGAGGAGGAGGAGGAGGAGGAGGAGGAGGAGGAAGAGGAGGCGTCAATGGATTACCTAGAACTGGAGTAACAGAGGACTGTGAATCACCATGTGGATGTTGGAGACTGAACTCTGGTACTCTGAAAGAACAGTAAACTCTCTTAATTCCTCAGCTATCTCTTAAGCCCCCCCACTGAGTGGCCTTTTGAAAAGAATGGCAAGATTTAAGTATACAGAAAGAGTACTCTGGGGAGTGAATTTAGGAAAGAGCAGAATCAGGGAGAGTGGTCTGGGGGCAGGTGTAGTCTCCAGGTAATAGCAGCTCGGCCTGTGGCTGTGACAATGATTGCTGGATATACAAACAAGGGGTAATGAGAAACATGGACTTCCAGAGCTGGTAGCCACTGCTCTTCTGGAAGGCTGGCTTTAAACTGTCTGTTCACCTCCCTCAGTCTTCCAAGAGCATGCACCAACCATATCCAATCAGGAAAGCAACCTTTAAAAAAAAAAATCTCGCCGGGAAAGCAACCTTTAAAAAAAAAAAATCTCGCCGGGCGGTGGTGGCGCACGTCTTTAATCCCAGCACTCGGGAGGCAGAGCCAGGCGGATCTCTGTGAGTTCGAGGCCAGCCTGGTCTACAAAGCGAGTTCCAGGAAAGGCGCAAAACTACACAAAGAAACCCTGTCTCGAAAAAAAAAAAAAAAAAAAAATCTCGGCTGTGCATAGGAGTTCACCTCTGTAATTGAAGCATTCCAGAGGCAGAGCCAGGTGACTTTCTTGTAAGGTCCAGGCTAGCCTAGTCTACATAGTGAGATCCTGTCTCAAAATTAACCAACCAACCATCCAAAACCAAAATAAACCACCCCACAAAACCAAAATCAAAAGGTCAAAAATGGACACAAATAAGAGCGTTCACAAAGGTCTGCATTTTATACAAAGGCAGGTTAATTAGCTGAACAAGAAGGATCTTTAAATATGTTTATTGGATAAATGAGGGGCGGATTAACAGAGAAATGTGTAAGGGGAAGGATGTGGGAAAGGTAAAGGGACTGACTAAAAGATAACAAGGAAGCCGGGCAGTGTGGGGGCAAGCCTTCAGCACTCTGAGAGGCAGAGGCAGGCAGATCTCTGTGAGTTCAGGGCCAGCCTGGTCTCCAGAGCGAGTTCCAGGACAGCCAGGGCTACACAGAGAAACCCTGTCTCGAACTCCCACCCCCACCCTACCCTCGCCCCAGATCAATAAATAATAGCAAGAGTAAGAAAGTTGAGTGACGGTCTGAGAGGGGGAAGGGGGTCGCAGGAGAGGCAGCCTGGGAGAAAGAGGTAAAAAGGGTTGGGGAGGCGGTGACAGGCACATCGGGTCATGGGACTACAGGATCTGGAGGGTGGACCCATGGACTGAAAGTCGGGGAGGAGGTAACCATACAGAAGGGAGGAATGAGAAGCCTGGAAGTCGCGTTGGGAGGAGGGATGGGGTCAAAGTTTGGGAAAGCAGGAAGGAATGTAAGGTTGAGACAGGGCTCTTAAGGGGTGAGCCAAAGACCACCTTGGGGAGTCAGATGCTAGAGTGGGTGGGAGGGGGCGTAGAGGGGCACACAGATAGGCCCCTGGAAGCTCAGAATGAGGAGGGAAATGTGTGGTTGGGGAAGCAGTTGAGGAGAGTGGAGGGCAGGTTTGAAATGACACCGGGAGGGGAATGTTGGGCGTGGCAGAGACTCTGCCCTAGGCCTTGCCCAACTCCGCGCCCTTGCAAAGGCTCTCAGTGCTTTCTCCCTTCAGGCAGAAGGAGCCTTGATGTTGGAGGAGACACTGACAGGCAGCTCAGGTATTAAATCCTGTTACCTAGGGCTGGGATGGCATGTGGGCGGTTAGAGAGCCGTAACTACGCGGAGGGCTTGAGCAGTGACCCAGAGGGTCGCTAGACCACATCTCTGCAGCAGAAATTCCTTGAAGGTTGTAGCGCGGGTGATTTTACCGTCCTGGGTTAGGACCCCTGAAGACGGGGCAGGCCATGGTAGGAGACTGAAGAAAAAGGAGCTAGGAGTGGAGGTGAAAGTCGGGCTAGACAAACAGTGCGCGCACAGTGCGCGCCGAAACCCGCAGGGAAAGGGTGGCAAGGGGCCTTCCCAGGGGCGTCTATGGGGACGGGCTCCGCAGCAACCGGGGCGCACCTGTATGGAGAAGAGAGGAAGGGGCCACCCGGAGCCTGCAGGGGACTGCGACCCCAGGGACTTGTGCGAAACCTTCGCCTACTTCCCATCAGCAGTTAGGGCCAGGCAAATGAAGGGGCGTGACACTGGCGCTCAGGTTTCTTCCTCTTCACCTGGACAAGGAGGGGGTGGGGGCCCAGACTTCCGGTTCAGGTGAGTGTCCCTTCGGTGACGTCAGGTCACCCTCGATTGCCCCTCTGGTCCCGCCCCGGCTCCCGCGCTCCCGTTGCCTGCGGGGGCGCGTCCCCGACGCCCTACATATACTCAGGTGCGCCGCACCTGCTCGCCCGCACCTGCCGCCTCCCGGCCCAGCTCTTCTCTGCCGTGCACCGCAGCCCGGGGCCCGGGGCCCGCACTCTTCCTGGGGGCCACGCCCGAACGGCCCCTCCGCTCCTCTGGGTCGTCTCTGAGCACGCCGGAGGGAACCCCGCCTGGCCTTCGGGGGCCTCTTTTGTCTGGAACCAGTCCTTCGGGCGAAGCCGGTTCCCTGTGCTGTGAGAGTGTCGCTTCACCGGAGGGGACGATTTGTGTTTACCTCGGTTAACAAGATTTGCAGTTAACCGTCCGAAAGCAAATCTTTTTCCTATCTCTAGGTGACTTAAATCTCCATCCAGTTTTTGTTGTTTTGTCTTTGTGTTGCTTCCCAGATTTTGTTTTACTGTCGGGTCGCCCTCCCGGCGCGTCCCATCTTTTCTGAGACGGAAATGGCCAATGCGGGCCTGCAGCTGCTGGGCTTTTCGATGGCCGTGCTTGGCTGGGTGGGCCTGATAGTGAGCACTGCCATTCCGCAGTGGAGGATGAGCTCGTATGTGGGCAGCATCGTCACAGCCCAGGCCATGTACAAGGGGCTCTGGATGGAGTGCTCCACGCAGAGCACTGGCTTGTCAAGCTGCAAATCCTACGACTCGGTGCTCGCCCTGCCGGGTAAGGCCGTGAGACCGACGGAGCGGACGTGCCCGGAGTCAAGGTGGCGGGGTTAGGTGTGGGGCTGGGCTGAGGCCGCACGGCCTGGAGCCCGGGGTTGCCAGGGAGGAGGAAGTGGACACCTTGAGCCCAGTCGGTGGGACCGGGAGACAGAGGGCCTGGGATCTGGCAGTGGCACGTGGGCCCACACCCCTCTGCCCGGCTTGAAGGGGGGAGTCCTGGGAAAAGGCACCCCTCACCCCCGGCCCTGGGCAGTCCATGGGTCTCTGTCTTCTCCTGCTTCTTTCTCCGGGACAAAGGGGGACCCGGACGGAGGTGCCTAGGGCCGCAGAATCGTGCCCTCGTTAGACGTGGGACCGTACTTGTGGCTTCTAATCTTATCCGCCGATTAGCTGAAGCCACAAACCCGGTGGCCTCGATAGCGGGGGCAGAGCTAAGACACGCGCCCGTCGGTGTGGCTCAAACGAGGGCCTGGCCGCCACCTGCACTTCCCTTTCGCCCCCTTTCTCCCTTCCCCCTACCTGGCGCGGTTTCATCGAAACCTCGGCGCCCCGGGCGGGTTCTGGAGCGCGGGGCGGGGCGGGGCGCTGGATGGCCGCGGTGGCGGGGTGGGGGCGGGAACTGTCTGCCCAAGGTCTGTCTTGGACCGAGGGGGCCCCAGGCTGGCGGTGGAGCCCAACTGGCACACTGCGGTCCCGGGGTTAGTCGGCGCTGTGTGCAGCACTTCGGCAGGCGCCATCCTAAGGCTACCATTTCCGCATTGACCTTCTCCTTCCTCCTCCTCTGCAGCGGCCTTACAGGCCACTCGAGCCCTAATGGTGGTGTCCATAGTGTTGGGCTTCATCGCCATGTTGGTCGCCACGATGGGCATGAAGTGTACAAACTGTGGGGGAGATGACAAAGTGAAGAAGGCCCGTATAGCCATGACTGGAGGCATCATTTTCATCGTGACAGGTGAGCCACAGGTCCAAGGTGGGACCAAGGGCTCTCTTCCTCCCAGATCACTGCCGAGGTCTTGGTTTGGACACCCAATACCAGAATCTTTCTTTTTCTAGGTCTTGCTGCCTTGGTAGCATGCTCCTGGATTGGACATGACATTATCACAGAGTTTTATAACCCCTATACACCCACGAATGCGAAGTAAGTCTTCTAGGGAGACAAATCCGTAGCCTTGGGACAGGGAGGAGGACATCAGACCCGAGTTTTGACTCCAACCCTTTCTCTCCACAGGTACGAGTTTGGTCCTGCCATCTTTATTGGCTGGGCAGGGTCTGCTCTGGCCCTCCTGGGAGGTGCCCTGCTCTCCTGCTCCTGTCCTGGTAGTGAAAACAGCACTGTATACCGTGCACCCCGCTCCTACCCCAAGTCAAATTCTGCCAAGGAATATGTGTGAGCTGCTGGGGTGCTCAGCCTGCGTGCGAGGTGTGGGACAAAGGCCTCCTGGTCACTCCGTCCCTGAACACCATGTACGGTTGGGGGGGGGGGTGCATCTAGGGGAGGGGAGGGCTTGGGAGAAGACAAAACATGGGGGTGTGCTTTTGTACAGTAATAAAAATTAAGTTTTGGAAATCAGGTGTCTTTCCAAGCCTCATTTCTTCACACTCAGATCCTTCCTTGAACAGGAGTTGGCACTATAGCGCCAGCAGGGCCCCTAGGCCTCTAGTCCCCATTTTGTTAGGCCTAATGCCTTGACTGTAGACTCAGGGTATTATCTATTCTCCCCTAAACTCTTTATCCTGTGTGGCCAAATGCTATATGGGTTTGTGTGTGTAGGTCAGAGGACAGCTTTGTGGAGTGGGTTCTCTCCTTCCACCTTTCTGTGGGCTCCAGGGATTGAACTCAGGTCATCAGGCTTGTGGCAAGTACCTTTACCTGCTGAGCTATCTCACCAGCCCCAACCCCCAACATCTACTCTTTAAGGAGTTACCAAGGAGCTTTTTCAATTTATATATGTACACATACATCTCTTTTATTAGAAATGGCATGGGAAGAGGGGGTTCTTATCCTCTTGCTATACACTATGCTCTCACCACACTTCTTTGCCCCAATTATATGGTACTCCTTGGCTCACAGGACAGGCCCTCCACAGACACAGCAAAACAGGGAGGGAGGGACCAGGTGAGGTCCCTGGCGAACAGGACGGTTCTGAGCCACAGTCTTCCTATTCCATTTGTCTAGTCAAACGTCTAGGTCATCATCTGGATCTTCTTGGTCCACGTCATCAAAAGCATCTGGCTCATAGAAGATGTGGCTAGTTGTCTGGCCTGGTCCAGGGCGGAGCAGAGCTTGCTGTCTGAGGAAGGAAGATGTGATGATGATGAGGGTAGGTGATGAGTCAGGTCTGGAGAGTGCCTTCTAGGCGACAGTGATACTCGCTTAGGTGACCCATCCCATGTCTCTGTGTCATTTTCTCGGTCTAAGTTCCAAGGCTCTTGAGAGCTCAAGCACCACTAGGTCCTGCGATGGGGATTGTCTTGTACCGCTCTAACAAAACCCAACTCCTGAGCAGCTGGAAGGCAAGGATTCCTCAGCCCTGGTTTCCATCCACCCACACCAGGCACAGAGCAGGAGCAGCTCCTGAGCCCTGGCAATCAGCGCTTGCCACACCCACAGACGTTAGCTTTGGCACTGGGGCCTGGAGAAGGGCCGTCTCCCCATCTGGTCCGGCTCAGCCAGGCCCCTAGCTCTACTGGAGAGAAGCACAGAGAGGTCCTCTATCATTGTGGGAATCCTGTATAGGTGGGTAGGGAGCCACTCCCTAGACTTGTCTCTGGAGGTGGACTTCAGCCCCTATAAAATCTTGAGGTTAATCAATAACCTGTCATCACCCCACCTTTCTGTGACCCAGATGCTGAGATCCCAGCCCAACCTTACTTTTCAGAGCTGAACTGGAAAGGCAGAGTGAGGCTGTCTCTGGCTTCTCTTTCTTTCTTGGATAAGTGAAGGTTAAAGGTCAAATGAGTCGTGGGATCCACCTGTAGGTAAAAGTGCTGTTGCTGATCAGTTCTACTTTTCAACCCCAGACCCCCAACATCTCTACGTTTTTTGTGTTTTTTTTTCCCCTTCTGAGACAGAGTTTCTCTGTGCAGGCCCGGCTGTCCTAGATCTGCCTGCCTCTACCGTCTGGCACTTTTTTTTCCTTTATAATTTTTATTTTATGTTCACTGGTGTTTTGCCCGCATATATGACTGTGAGGGTGTCAGAAGTGTGCATTGCCACTGCCTGGCTAATCTCCAGCTTTACTTTTTCCCTTGCCAGACTCTAGGCTCACACCCTTGTTCTGGCCCTGCTACTTTTAGATACCTGGGTTGTGTGAGGATCTGGGTGTAGTTCAGAATGGAGGGGAAGCCGCTCACGGAGATCCAGGCTGAAGTCAGGAAGAATGGAGAACCACCAAGTCTAGGGAAGAAAACATATACCCTCATTTATTTGCTATAAGACAGCATCCTTAACTGGTTATTAACAGGGTCTTTAAGTTTTTGGAGACAGATCTCTCTAGCCCTGGTTGTCATGGAACTCACTATGTAGACCAGGTGAGGCTCAAACTCAGATGTGGCTGCTTCTGCTTCCCAAGTGCTGGGATTAAAGGTGTGTGCCGCCATGGCTGGCTAGTTTATGGGTTCTTGAGTTGAGCAACCCTGAGTTCAAATCCTGGGTATTTCACTTGGTGTTTATTTAACTTAGGCAAGTGACTAATTTTAACATCTCTAGATTTTATTTTCCAGTCTAAAAAAACAAAGATAAAACAATCACTTCACAGGGTATCTGAGGACTGAATGAGGAAAGTGACAGAAATCACAGGGGATGCAGCTCAACGACTGTGTGTGTGTGCTGAGCATGTTTAAGGATTTAGGTCTGATCCTCCAAGCACCACAACGTATAAACAGGATGCTAGGCCTGGAGCTTCACGTCTTTTTTTTTTTAAGATTTACTTATTATGTATACAGTATTCTGCCTGCATACATCCCTGCAGGCCAGAAGAGGGCACCAGATCTCCTTACAGGTGGTTGTGAGCCACCAAATGGTTGCTGGGAATTGAACTCAGGACCTCTGGAAGAGCAGTCAGTGCTCTTAACTGTCTCTCCAGCCCTGGTGGTACATGTCTTTAACCTCAGAACTTGGGAGGCAGAGGCAGGTGGATCTCTGTAGGTTCAAAGTCTTTAAAAAAAAAAAAATCCAGTTCTAGGCTAGTCAGGGCTAGCTACAGAGTCAGACCCTGACCCAAACAAAATGAAATCAAACAAATCAACAACACACAAGTAATTAGATCAGCTTTCCTTGCTTCTCCTGAGACAGAATCTCAGGTTTCACATAGACCAGGCTGTCCTAGAGCTTACTAGGTACGCTGGAACTGCCGCTTCTCCTTCCTCCACCTGTAAGTGGACATCAGTTTGTACCGCTCTCCTGGTCATGCCCCCTGTCCTGTAAGTGACATCAGTTTGTATTGCTCCCCGTCTGTCATGCTCCCTGTCCTGGCTAGTTTCATGTCAACTTGACAGAAGCTAGTCATCTGAAGGGACAGAACTTCCATTGAGAAAATTCCTCTGTCTGATCCAGCTGTAGGGTATTTCCTTAATTAGTGATTGATGTGAGAGGGCCCAGCTCACTGTGGGTGGGGATCCCTTGTGTGGGTGGGGTCCCTCGTGGGCTGGTGGTCCTGGATGTTAACAGCAGACTGAACAAGCCATGAGGAGCAAGCCAGTAAGCAGCACCCCTCCATGGCCTCTGCATTAGCTCCTGCTTCCAGGTTCTTTGCCCTGTTCTGAGTTCCTGGCCTGACCTCCTTCAATGATGGACTACAACATGGAAGTGTGAGCCAAATAAATCCTCTCTTCCCCAACTTGCTTTTGGTCATGGTGTTTCATCACAGCAATAGAAACTCTGGCTAAACAGTGGCCCTTCTCTGATCCTAATCTCTAGTCTTCTCTGTTGTCTTTCCTGACCTGGTAAGTTGCACGTTGGTGGGGCCTTCGACAGAGGATGGAGGCTGAAGTCTGGCCCATTTTACCACTCAGAGTCACCTCTGTGTGAGCAAGGGTGCTCAGCGCTCCAGTGGGGCCGGGACCATGAAGATCTTCATGGATCAGGCCCAGCACACGTGCCTGCTCTACTACGGAGTCAGCACCTGGAGAGGACAAGAAATGAGATCATGAAGACACAAAGTAGCATTGAGCTGAAGACCTTGGAGTAAACAGTGAAGCTAAGAAAGGAGAGGGCCACATCCTATCACAATTAGACCTACCTCGGCCAATCTTACTATCCCACCATACTGCTCTGTGCCTTTACTAGCCCACAATTAATTATCCAATTCAGATCTGATCAAGGGACCACTGACTTCTATCTTTCAGCACGACATGAATACTTTTAGCATGTCTGGAAACTTTGCAGCCTCATCAATTACTGAGCTGCTTGTATGTTGTGGTTATCAGGTAGTGTCTTCCTTTCTCTCTGGGAACATTAACAGTGTGATACACTCTGCCAAACACTTTGGCACATTTTATTTTTTACATTTATGGGTGTTTATGTATACATGTGTATGTTCCATGGTGTGCATGTGCCATGGCATGCTTGTGGAGATCACAGGCTAATTTTTGGAAATCTTTTCTTCTTCCAACATGTGGAACTCAAGCGTTGAATAAAGGTCCTCAGACTTGGTAGGAAGCATCTTTACCCACTAAGTTGTCATGCTGGCTGGCCCAATTTGGCACATTTTATTTATTTATTTACTCATTTATTTTTGAGACAAGGCCTCACTAGATAGCCTTGGCTGGCATGGATCTCAATATATAGACCAGGCTGGTCTTGAACTCATAAGAGATCAGCCTACCCCTGCTAGGATTCAAAGTGTGTATCTTTCCACAGTCAGGTCTAATTTCTAAAAAAATGAGTTGTTTTGATTGATGTGTGTGGGTGTCCAGAGGCCAGAAGAGGGTGAAGAGCTTCACTTCCAGCCAGGTTTACTTCTTCGTGTCTTTTATGAGAACAAGCCTCTATAAGGCAATGGCCCAGTTGTAAGGTCAGTCTTGATTTTTCCATTATTTAAAACTGTACTTGAGGGGCTGGAGAGATGGCTCAGAGGTTAAGAGCACTGACTGTTCTTCAAGAGGTCCTGAGTTCAATTCCCAGCAACCACATGGTGGCTCACAACCATCTATAATGAAATCTGATGCCCTCTTCTGGCCTGCAGGCCAACATGCAAACAGAACACTGTATACATACTAAATAAAATTTACAAAAAGAAAAGAAAAAGAAATTCAAAAACAAAAACAACTGCACTTGACATTGCCCTATGTTTGTATTTGTAAAATAAGTGAATGAGGAGCTGGAGATGGAGCTCAGTTATTAAGCATGCCTGCCTGGTATACAAGCAGCAGCATATACACTCACTGTGCATGGTGGTACAGGCCTACACTTAGCCTCAGGAGGCAATGGCAGGAGATCAGAAGCTCAAGGTCGATCCAACCTCTTCGCCCAGCCAGATCCTGTACATCCGTCACCAGGATCTAGCTGCACTGAGACCATTACAGCAAACCATAACTGACCAAAATGCAGAGAACAAGTGACTGTGTGGTGGCCGCCCCCAACTGACTTATCTACAACACAACTCCTGAACCTGAGGCTCAGGGATCATCTTGGAAGAGGGACCGAAAGATTGTAAGAGCCGGAGAAAAAGGAAGTTCTTTTCTTTTTAAAGATTTATTTACCCCTGTATTTTATGTCTATGAGTGCTCTGTCTTCATGCACACCAGAAGAGGGCATCACATCCCATTACTGATGGTTGTGAGCCACCATGTGGGTGCTGGGAATTGAACTCAGGGCGTCTGGAAGAGCAGCGACTGCTCTTAACCGCTGAGCCATCTCTCAAGTCCTCTCTCTCAGATTTCATCTTCTAGCAATGTCAGAGAAGCTATACCCGTCAAGTCTCGTTAACATGGCTGCCTAAACAAGACCCAAACAAAGGAGACATCAGACATGCTAACATGGAAGAGGAAAAAAATTTCACAGGGCCTCTAGACAAACAACTACAGGCAACCAGGAATCCTGAGTGGGAGAAACAATCTTCCCAAGGGAAAAGCCCCCCAGTTTGTTACAGAATACCAAGTGGTCAGCCTTGAAATCATACACATATAAGTAACATTATATGAACTGAACAGCCTATAGTTATATAATTAGGAATATAGATCTATGTAACAATAATTAAAGAAAAAGAAGCCATGAATTTGAGGTGCGCATGGAAGGGAAATATGACTTAACTACATTTTTAAAAAAATTATTCAAATAATAAAAAAAAAAAAGAAACCTTTAATCCCAGAGCTGGGGAGGCAGACGTAGGCAGAGTTCTGTGAGTTCAAGGCTAGCCTCGTCTACAGAGAGAATTCTAGGATAGCCATGGATACACAGAGAAACCCTGTCTCAAAAAACCAAAACCAAAACTCAAAAACAGTAACAACAAAAAACCAAAACCAACCAAGCAAACAAAAGAAACCGTCTCAGTACACTGAGACTTAATGTAGAAAAAGAGCACATAATGTATAAAGATGTAATTTGTGACAACATAAAATTCTCAGGAAAAAAAAAGTTGTTTGAGGTCATCTTTGGCTACATACCAGGTGAGGGCAGCGTTGATTCTTCTGGCCATAAGGAATATATGAGACCTTACATTCAAAGAAGGTGGAGACCTAGAGACGGAACCACCCACAGAACAACAGGTACATAAAGAGAACAAAGCAGAACAGTGACGGGCTGGAGAGGTGCTCTGCAGGGAAGAGCACTGGTTGTTCTTCAGAGGACCTGAGCTCCATTCCCAGCAACCTCTTGGTGTCTTACAACCAACCACCCGTAACTTCACTTACACGGGATCCAGTGCCCTATTTTTGGCCTCTGCAGGCACCCGGCACCCACAATGTGCAGCACAGACAGACAGACCAAAAAAAAAAAAAAAAATCACATAAAGAAAATTAAAACAAAACCCTTGTACCTCTCTTACCTGGGTGTGGTGGTACAGTTCTAGCACCAAGGCTGGAGAGATGGCTCAGCATTTAAGGGGTCTTACTTCCCAATCCTAAGGACCAGATCTGGATCCCAGCACCCATGTAATAAGCCCAGTGTCCTGGTACACGCTTTAACCCCAGCTCCAAGGGGGACAGCTGGGGATTGCTAGCTTCCAGCCTAGGTGATAACATTCTAGTTGTCCCAGGTTCAGGGAGAGACTCTTCTTCAAAGAAACAGACAAAGAGTAACAGAGAAGGCAACCAATTCCCTCTTCTGGCCTCTATTTGCAGAGGTACATGAACCTGCATACACACATATGCATATAATCACAGGCATGGGTATGTATACTCGCAAAGATACAAGTTTTTTCTTTGCTTTTGTTTTTCAAGACAGGGTTTGTGTAGCCCTGGCTGTCCTGGAACTTGCTGTATACACCAGACTGGCCTCAAACTCACAGAGATCGCCTATCTCTGCTTTCCAAGTGCTGGATTAAAAGGCATGGGCCACCACTGCCCGGCCCCTTGTTTTTCTTTTTTGAGACAGGGTCTCACCATGTAGCTCTGGCTGTCCTAGAACTCACTATGTAGACCAGGCTGTCCTCAAACTCAGAGATCCACCTGCCTCCGCCTCCTGAGTGCTGGGATTAAAGGTGTGCCCCACCATGTCAAGCTAGACACAACACAGTCTTTTTTTTTTTTTTCCGAGACAGGGTTTCTCTGTGTAGCTTTGCGCCTTTCCTGGGACTCACTTGGTAGCCCAGGCTGGCCTCGAACTCACAGAGATCCGCCTGCCTCTGCCTCCCAAGTGCTGGGATTAAAGGCGTGCGCCACCACCGCCCGGCTAACAACACAGTCTTAAAACAACAAATCTCCAACAATCAACACTCCATCTCCCAATTCTCCCTAAAAAGTTCAGGAGATGGTAGAATATGGGACTGGAGATCCCTAGTACCTCTTGTTGGAGTGGAAAGGAAGGGGTGATGTTCTTTGGCGAGAGCTCTATGAGGGCACCTAACGAAAGGAGGAAGCTCACCTGGGGAGACACGTGGCTGGCTCAGAGCATGCAGGGTTTGACAGAGTGTGACACAGGGAAGGTGAAGCAAGAGCCAGCTCAGAGAATCCAGAGCAATGGTGACAGGGCCAGGATCCGTCCTTCTGCACATGGCCCTTAAGGTCCCCAGAGGTCCTTCAGGGACAGCTTCACCAGGTTTTGACCAGTTAAGAGGGTCTTTAAAGAGGTCATGGTAAACCAGGCTAGAAAGGGAGAACAGAAGACATGTTACAACCTTGAACTTCTTCCTGATTTATTTTTTCAGACAGGGTTTCTCTGTGTAACAGCCCTGGATATCCTGGAACTCACTCTGTAGATCAGGCTGGTCTCAAACTCACAGAGATCCACCTGCCTCTGCCTCCTGAGTGCTGGGATTAAAGGCGTATGCCACCCCACCACCTGCCTCTTCCTGATTTTTGGAAATTTCCCCCCCCTCAATTCTCACCAACACCTTAAATATTAGTGAAAGCTAATTACTGAAAGGATTTAGTAACTGACGGCAGACTTTGGTGTCTCATAACCTAATTCTAAGGTTGACTTTGGACCTCGTCCAGGGTCACCTAACTAGGAATTCTACCCTTTAAAGTCCTTTTTGACATTTGTTCTAACTCCTCTTCTGGGGGTTAGAGAGTTGGCTTAGTAATTAAGAGTGTGTATACTGTTCTTGAAGAGGACTGGAGTTCAGTCCCTAGTAGATTCACAACTGCCTATTACTGGACTTTCAGGGGAATCTGATGCCTTTTTCTCACTTCCATGGGCATTCACACTCGTGCACATATCCGCACACATACACATTATTAAAAAAGAAATCTTGGTGGGACAGTGGTGACTTATGCTTTTAACCCCAGCACTCAGGAGGCTGAGATAGACAGCTCTCTGTGAGCTCAAGGTCTGCCTGGTATATACAGCAAGTTTCAGGCCAGCCAAGGCTATGTTTTTTGAGACTCTGCCTCAAAAAACAAACCCAACCCTAACAACAAAAACACTCCCCCCCCCCCCCCCCCCCCCCCCCCCGCCCCCGGGGTCCTGCCACACGGAAGAGCTCTGTCATTTCCATTGTTTTCTACGATTTACTAGAGCAGGAAACCAGCTAGTCTCATCCACTGTTCTAGCACCAGTGTCTGAGCATAGCTCTTGGTTTTGCTCAGTACAGACTGACCTAGTGAGTGAACCTGGATACTGCACTAACTTTCCTAACTAGTCTCCACTTCCAGGCTGCCTTGTTTTGTTACATTCCCTCCATGGTAACCAATGGACTAGTGTTTCGAAGAGGCATGGTGTGACTAACTCTCCTCCCAACTGTTCTTGGCATAACATCTAAACCTCTATTGTGCTCTGTAAGACCTTTTTACAGTCAGGGACCTCTTTATCTACCTGACCTCTCATGCCTTGTCATATGTTATTCTGGTGTTCCCTTTGCCTTTAGGGCAAGTCCATTAGTACCCTGCAGTTAGTGCTGATGCAAGCCTGGATTCTATGACTGAATTATGCACCATTCAGAATAACCCAAAGGGCAGAGTTTATTTATTCTACCATCCAGTAGGTCCTCTAGTGCTAAGACACACTGTCCACCTTTTTACTCCCATTACTCTCAACTTCTGGGACCCTTTCTTGATTGTCTTAGCTGTCACCAATCCTCATCTCCACAGTTCCCATCAGCTCCCAACTGCCTAGAGCTCCAGCTTCAGGTAATCTGATGCTCCTAAAGATCAACTCGCTCCTTCAACTGCTGCTATTACTAGTTTTGGGGTTCAAAAGTGCTATGTGGTCAAGGATGACCTCAAATTGCTGACCTGCCTGTCTAAACTTTCCAAGTGCTGGGATGACAGATGTATACCCACACAGGTTTATATCATGCTAGGGATCAAACCCAAGGCTTTGAGCATGCCAGGGAAGCACTCCCATACCATACCAGCTGAGCCGTCTCTAGTCCCTAAAGTAAATTTATAATTTATTTATTTATATTTTTATTTGATATGCATTGGTGTTCTGCCTGCATGTATGTCTGTGTAACTGTGTTGGGTTCCCTGGAACTGGAGCTACAGTTGTGAGCTAACATATATATGCTGAGAATTGAACTCAGGCCATCTGGAAGAGCAGTCAGTGCTCTTAACCGCTGAGCCATCTCTCCAGCCCTATAAATTTATAATTTTAAAAAGCTTATCTCACTTTTAATTATGTATATATGTGAGTATGTGATTATGTGCAAGTGAGTATAGGTAACCAAGAAAACCAGAAGAGGACACCAGATACCCATGAGCTGGAAATACAGGTGGCTGTGAGCAGCCCTAAGCAGGTGCTAGGAACAAAATTCAGGTCCTCTGCAAGGGTAGAAGGCACTCTTACTTGCCAAGTCATCCCTCTAGTCCCTGTGATTTATTATCATTAATCTTACTATTATTATTGTTTTATTTTCTTTTTCTTTCTTTTTTTTTTTTTTTTTTTTTTTTTTGGTCTTTCAAGACAGGGTTTCTCTGTGTAGTTTTGTGCCTTTCCTGGAACTCACTCTGTAGACCAGGCTGCCCTTGAACTCACAGAGATCCGCCTGCCTCTGCCTCCCGAGTGCTGGGATTACAGGCGTGCGCCACCACCGCCCGGCTTTTTTTTTTTGGTTTTATCTGAGATTTTTTTTTTACAGAAATCTAAAAATTAATTTTTTTTAAAATTAAAAAAAATTAGCCGGGTGGTGGTGGTGCACGCCTTTAATCCCAGCACTTGGGAGGCAGAGCCAGGCGGATCTCTGTGAGTTCGAGGCCAGCCTGGACTACCAAGTGAGTTCCAGGAAAGGCGCAAAGCTACACAGAGAAACCCTGTCTCAAAAAACCAAAAAAAAAAAAAAAAAAAAAAATTAAAAAAATTTTGCCAAGTGTGGTGGCACATGCTTTTGATACTAGCACTCAGGAGGCAGAGGCAGGTGGATCTCTGTGAGTTTGAGGCCAGCCTGGGCTACAAAGAAAAACCTTGTCTTGAAAAACCAAAAACTAGCCATAACTGTCCCATTAGAAATCTGAAGATCATTTTTGCTATAAACACTGCCTCATCACTTGATTCTACACGTAATGAAAATGGGATGAAAGACTTGGTACTTCTGTCTTCATACTGTATCATTCTCTTTGTAGACATGTTGGTCATTTGAAAATCATATTGTCCTGAAGGGCTAGAGAGATGGCTCAGTAGTTAAGAGCACTTGTTGCTTTTGCAGAGGGTCCTGATTTGATGGTGGCTCAAATCATGTATAACTCCAGTTCCAGAGGATTCAACACCCTCTTCTGATTTCTGCAGGCGCTAAAGCATGCCCATGGTACACATATATACAGATAGACAAAACACTCATATACATAAGATCAAAAAAAAAAAAATCCAAAAAAAATTTAAAGTCATTTTGTCTTTTTAGCATATAGCCATGAAAGCAGTCTCAGGATACCATCATTTAAAATTTTAGATTTATCTTATTTGTTTTACATTTATTATTTATTTAGAAACAGGGTCTCACTATTGCTATGGAATGTCTTTTTGCATGCTGTGAATATGTGTTGCTGATTGGTTGATAAATAAAGCTGCATTGGCCTATGGCAAGGCAGCTTAGAGGCAGGCAGGAAATCCTAGAGAAGAAAGGAGAGGACAGAGAGAGACAGCCGCTGGGGTAGTAGAGCAAGACGCCAGCAGACCGGTAACGCCATGGCTCTGTGGCAAAACATTGATTAACAGAAATGGGTTATTTTAGGATGAAAGAGCTAGCTTGCTAGAAGCCTGCCATAAGCCATACAGTTTGAAAATAATATTAAGCCTCTAAATTATTATTCTGTAAGTGGTTGTTGGACCACAAAGGTGGGGGTGGGAGTGTGGGGTGTGTGTCCCCACTGGCCAGAGAAACATTTCAGCTACACACCATGTAGACCTGACTGGCCTGGAACACACAAAGATCTCCCTGTATTTGCCTTTTGAGTGCAGGGATTACAGGTGTGTACTGCCACAGTGGCCTTACAACATTGTTTTATTAAAGATATTTTATAAATTCAATGTGGCTTGTAACATAATCACAGCACTCAGAGGATGAGACAGGATTGATAAAGAGTTGGAGGCTATTGTGAGATCACATTTTTTTTTTTCAACAACTAAATTTTCTTTTCTGAGGATTGAAAAAATAAAAAGGAAAACGTTTTGTGTCCAAAGGTTAATTTACCCTATTACACTTTGGAGTTAGTACGCTCTTTTATCTTTTTCTTGTGTTTTCAACTCAATTCTAGCGTCTATAGTCCTAAGCCTTATAATAAGACCCAGAACAAAGCAACTGCAAGGATATTTATGAAAGATGACGGCATCACTATAAGAGAAACTGCGGTTTCTTGATTGACTATTTATTAACCTGCAAACATTAAAGCCAGAATGCTTATGTACAGGAAAATATCTTTACAGTCTACTCCAGAAAATATGAGTCTACTGCTCTGTTTTGTTTAGTGAGCTATGGTCTCATGATGTTCCTCTTCATCACTGTTGTATCCCTTTTCTCCAGTCAAGTCGGCCAGTTGAGGCTAAAGTCTCTACAACTTCGATAGTCTTGTTTATAATTTCTAGTGTTCCAAGTCATACGATCCCATTTCCACACAATCCGAGAGTCTGCGCTTTCGCTGAATAGACGCTCCTTATCAACTGTGGTCGGAATGAAACCCGTTGTAATTTCTACTTACCGGCTGTTGATATCAGAGCCAAAACCTTCGCGAAACTCTTCTTCACTCACTTCACAGCCCAGAACGTGGATTTGCTCCCCACTAAAGCAAAGATGATGGGGATATGTTGAAGAGTCGGGGCACCAGTGCCCTTCCCCGCAAGGACCAAGAGAAGCCGCAGGAAAACTCACCGAAGTGCAGATTTCTTGATAAGAGCCTTTAGGAGACTTCGCCCCTCCCACTCCACGGAATCTGTAGAGAGCCAAGCAGGTGTTAAATCCGACAGAGCCCTTAGGTCTCCGGCTTCATAATCCACCGCGACTTCCACCCCTAGCCAGGCAGCCTCAAGCCTTCCGCCCCTTCAGCCAGGCCCGAGGCTCCCCCCACGTGCCTCTACTCCTCACCTCGAACAAGCACCAAGCCACCGAGGGCCAACAGCGAGTCCAGCATCTCGGACGCTTTCGGACGCTTTCTGATGTCGTCACGGCCGAGGAGGCGGGGCACTTACGATTGCTCCTCCCCCCCCCTCCATTAAAGGCCCGCAAAGTCTGGAACGAGGGGTTTTTTTCCTTTTTATGTTCCGAGGTCTCAGCGGGGCTCCCTCGGAGGGGGCGCTCCAGAGTCTCTGTACCCAGTCGTAGAGAAGACATCCTCAGTCAGTTCTTGCCCCACGACTGGGGTGAGAAGGGCCGTTGGAACAGTTGTCGGTGCGATGGAGATAGGGGTCGCGCGAGCCCCACTCCCCCAGACAGTCCGAACCCGGGGGCCAATGACGTCACTCGGCCCCGCCCACAGCGCGGGAGGCTGGCTCCGGGTCCCGCCCAGCAGTAACCTTGCGCGCGTGCGCAACGCTGCATCCCTGGGTCTGGACTCCCTCCGCTTTCCCTAACTCTACCCTCCTTCATTAGAACGAGTTGCGGGCCCAGCCATCCCGGGGAAGTGACTACACGTCACTACCGGAAGTGCTGTCAGAGGGGAAGAGGAGGAGGGAAGCGAGGAGGAGGGAGCCCTTTGGGCGGTAAAATGGCGCCTGTCAGAGTGGGAAGCCCAGCTGCAGGACCTGCAGCCCCGCTCCTTAGCGGCTAAGAGACCCCGACCGCGGGGAGGGGGAGGCCACTCCGGCCCAGCGCTCCGCGCCCTTCGGCTCCCCCTCCCCCTCCTCCCCTGTTCCTGCGCTCAGAGGCCCCAAGAGTCCCCAAGAGTCGTCGTGGCCCAGCGCGCGCCGCTGCCCCCGCCCGCCCCCTTCCCGGGGCAGACCCCTAGCGCGCCTGCGCAGAGGGCCACCCTTCGCTTCCCCCTTCCCCTCCCATCTCCCTCCCTCCCTTCTCCCTAGCCCCCTCCCCCAGTGCCCCCTCCCCCAATTCTCCATCCCCTTCCCTCCTGGTCTCGGAGGACCCCGTCCTAGCCCGACCTGTTTCGGCCTGCAGCCCACGCGAAGCCGTCGCTGCCACTGCCCGCTCATGTGGGCCCCTGCGGGCTGCCCACGCCAGTCCCCCAGCTCCCGGTTCCGCGGGGCTTTCCCTTCGCTGGGGGTGGCTTTCTGAGCCACCCACTCCGTGCCCATCTCTGCAGCCTCTCCTGCCGCTCGGGGCCCCCGTTCCCCCTCCCGGCGGCGGGGGGCTGCCCCCGGGGGGCTGGCGGAGCTGGGCCGCGGGGGCCCCGGGGCCGGCGGTGCCGGGGTCATCGGGATGATGCGGACGCAGTGTCTGCTGGGGCTGCGCACGTTCGTGGCCTTCGCCGCCAAGCTCTGGAGCTTCTTTATTTACCTTTTGCGGAGGCAGATCCGCACGGTGAGTTTGTGTGCGTGCTGGCAGTGGTGGGGATCTCTGTCCGCGGTGCTCATGAAATTTTGGATAGTGTTGGGCCTCTGTTTGGGGCCTAGGAACGGAGTCTTGGTCAGAGCTTTACCCGCTGGAGAAGTAGGACACCTTTAAGCAGGGGTTAGACCCTTATAAAAGAACCAAGGTCTGTAGTGCTTTTGGTTTCTTTTTTTCATCTGCCTAGGTGGGATAGGATTTGTTTGGCAGCTCTTGGGGGCTAGAATGTTGCTCTCCTTAAGAAAGCTGGAGTTGTTGCTAAAGAAAGCAAGAGGCGGGGAACACCTGTTTGTTGGTAGCCAGAACTGTTGATGTGGGCTCTGGAAAGACCCTGCTGTTGAAAGAGCCAGGCTCCTTTGTCAGTGGTGGCTGTGTGTAGGAGGGCATATGTAGCAGGGATGGGAGCCTGGGGGGAAGAAAGCCTTGGTCGTGAAGGAACTCCTCCAAAAAGGCTCTGGAAACCTATGGCGTGTGTAAATGGGTTTGTTGAGACCCTAGGACTGAAAAAGATGCTTTTATAATGGGCATTTTTAGTTGTAAGAGGCAGCACATTAAGTTGGGTGTCTCGTTAGAAGATCTAGCTGTTAGCTGGAGAGCTTGCATCGGAAGGTGGGCATGTTTCTCCAGGAGACTCTAGCAATTATGAAGGGATACCTGGAGTGTAGAGACTGTTTGGATGAACCCAGGCATCTCTGGGTTCTCACCCTCAAGCTTTTCTCCAAGGTAAAATTTATTTCAGCTAACATCACTTGATCCATGTGCCCTTATGTTTTCATCACCCCTTTGAGCAAATCTTCTCAAGTCAGGTTCTGGGGAAGATGAGTGAGCTGGCTGTAATCTTTGGCAGCCTAGGTCAAAGAGAATTCTCAGAAAGACTTTGGTGCTTGTAGTAGACTTGACTGATTTCTTCCACTTCCTGGTTTAGGGTGAGGATTATTCTGGGTGGTGGTGGTTGTAAGCACACCTAGTCTAAGAGCAGTAGGATTCATGAAAGATTTGGGGTGTGCAAGGCTGACATAGTATGGGCCTAACTCCTGTGATTTTATGTGTTGATTTCTGCTGCTTATCCTTTCTTTCTGACCTTGTCCCGAGAATCCTCCCTCTTCTAACAGCTCATTTCTTTCTTTCTTGTTTTGAGTGTAGGGAGTAGTGCTCTAGTCCATGTATTGGAAGATTAGTTACTTCCTAAATTGCTCTTTGTACATCATTGACCCCACAGCCTTTTGTCCTGCCTTCCTTCCAGTCTGCTTCCAGTCTGCTTTCTTCCCCACGCCCTTTCTGGCCGATACTTGGAGCATTCCCTACATGCCCAGCATGTGCAACCCGAGATAGCAGGGCAGGACACCCGAGCTGTTGCAGCCCTCGTCACAGGCTCAGGGAGAAAAGAAGGGCAGATGCCTTGGGATTAAAGAAGAGAGGGCCTTTTGGTTTTCAAGTAGGGAATGTGTGGCTTAGGGCCTAGGAATGGACTGGAGAGCGTTTGTATGGTAGAAGAAAAGAACAGTGGGACTTGCCAGACTACATAGAAGCCCTGGGGGTTAGGAAATAGCTTCTAGAGACGCCTTGGAGAAGCAGAGCTGGAAAGCTTGAGTGATGTCCTTGTCCCCTTTCCCCTTTCCCCCACAGTCCTTACTCCACTTTGGCCTTCTCTATAGCCTGTGCGGTTGGCAAGCAGGACTTGACACTGCCTCTCCATTGCCCTGGGTACCAGGGTAAAAAGGCTCTTCAGAGATTCACTACAACTTGTGACTTGGCTAGTAGAAACAGAAGTGGACAGGTGGCTGGTTAAAATAGTCCTCATGGCCCCTAGCCAGAGGAACTTAGCTGACCTGACAAGCCCTGGATTCCCTCATCACTGTTGCCCTCGGTGATCCAAGGACTTCCTTTCCTGATTCCTAGTCTCTGCCCACAAGGGTCTGGGGTTCTTGGTTCCCAGTGAGAGATGAGGGGAATGGCCGTGGAGAGCCCCTGAGGTGAGGGTGGGGAGCCTGCATGTTTCTTTGTGCAGTGTGGCGGGATATGGTGTTAAGAGGACACAGGCTGCTATTAACTCATTATCCTTGCTGCAGTTTTTGAGGTACTGAAAAAATAGGCATGATTGAGAGGAAATTCATGTTCTCATGGAGTTTTCATTTTCATTAGGGAGATAAGTCTAGCTGTGCAGTCCTAGGCATGAAGATGTTTAGTCTTTGTTACCTATCTTACCATTTGTTAAACAAGGATAACTACATTATTACCTAAATTTTGTTTTATGGTGCTGGGCATTGAACCTAGAGTCTCTTGCCTGTTAGACAAGTGCTCTACCATTGAACTTCACCTTTATCACTATTAGGATTATACATTAGGTCCTGAATCTTTTCTTTTTTTTAAAGATTTATTTATTATGTACACAGTGTTCTGCCTGCATGTATGTCTGCAGGTCAGAAGAGGGCACCAGATCTCATTATAGATGGTTGTGAGCCACCATGTGGTTGCTGGGAATTGAACTCAGGACCTCTGGAAGAGCTCAGTGCTCTTAACCTCTGAGCCATCTCTCCAGCCCTAGGTCCTGAATCTTATATGGTAAATGTTTAGTATTTGCTATTATTATTGTCGGGAAAGTTTTCCTTATAAAGTGTTCTAATTTTTTTCTCTTGTTATTCTTAGGTAATTCAGTATCAGACTGTTCGATATGATATCCTCCCCTTATCTCCTTTGTCCCGGAACCGACTAGGTGAGTATGTTGGATGGGAAGACCGTCCTGAAGGTGAAGTAGGCTCCAGCTTTGGGCTCCAGGTCATTGGTGTAATTTCTTCCCATTGTGGTTCAGCCCAGGTGAAGAAGAAGATCCTGGTGCTGGATCTGGATGAAACACTGATTCACTCTCACCATGATGGGGTCCTGAGGCCTACAGTGAGGCCTGGAACACCTCCTGATTTCATCCTCAAGGTGTGTGGAGATGGGGAAATACTTACACCTCCCACTGTGTCCAGACATAAACTCTCTTTCCCAGTTTTAAGGTCAGGGCTTGGTAAGACCTGGCACCAGGATCAGCCAGAAGGAGAAAAGCAGGTGGTGGCATGGGGGGCAAGGTCTGCGGTGGTGCTGAGGACTTGCTCATCTTTTCCCTGTTCTTCTGCAGGTAGTCATAGACAAACATCCTGTCCGGTTTTTTGTACATAAGAGGCCCCATGTGGATTTCTTCTTAGAAGTGGTGAGTGTGCATGAGCTAATGGGAGTTCCCTGGTGAGAGAGTGGTTCTGGGCTCTGAGTCTTCAGGGAAACTGGAGAAAAGGGTGAGAAGTTGGCGTAGTAGTCAGGGTTCTCTAGAGGAACAGACCCAACAGAATATAAACATATAGATATATATATTATTCAGCTTACAATAAAATAGTAGTGAGCTGTCTCATATCTGAGAGGCTAAGAACCTGGCAGATGCTCAGTTCTTGAGGCTGGTGCTGAAAACTTGGAAGGTTCCTGAAGAGCTGCTGGTCCTTAGTCCAACGCTTCAAATGTTGGCTGTAACATTAGTGAAAAAGCAGCACAGCAGCAGGGTAAATCAGCACAGTGGCAGGAGGGAGGGTCAGACGACCAAGAGGCAAATAATCTTCTTCTGTCATGCTTTCTTACCTGGGCTGCTACCAGAAGGTTCTACCAACTCTCAAGGTGGGTCTGCCTATATCACTTAAAGCAGTCAGGACAGTTCTTTAATTGAGCACCCTATTTGGTGGTTCTAACAGGTTAGAACCTGTGGCAAGGTGACATTAAAACCAAAGTCATAGTCCATCCCTTGTCACTTGACAAAATAACGTGTCACTTTAAAAAGTGTAATCTTGGGCAGGAGAGATGGATGGATAGTGGTGGATAGTATTTGTTACTCTTTCAGAGGACCTGGTGTGTACAAGTACCCACATAAACATAATTTGAAAAAATAGAAAAAAATCAGAGGCTATAACCTTATGCAGGGACAGATACTTATATGCAAATAAATAAATTTTAAAAACCATAACTTTATTCCCCTGAGTCTCATACTTATTTCATAATATAAAATATAACTTTAAAAGTCCCCTAGTCTTTAAAAAATTCAACCACTTAAAAGTTCAAAGTCTCAGCCAGATGGTGGTGGAGGATAACCATAATCCCAGAACTCAGGAGGCAGAGGCAGGCAGATCTCTGTGAGTTTCCAGGCCAGCCTGGTCTACAAAGCGAGTTCCAGGTCAGCTAGAGCTGTTACACAGAGAAACCCTGTCTCAGAAAAAAAAAAGAGAAAAGAAAAAAAAAAAATTCTCTGAGGGCTATGGATGTAGATAGCCTATGGATGTAGATAGCCTACACCTATGGATGTAGATAGCCATAATTTGATACAAATTGCTGTTCCATCCATTTGGCTCTCTAAAAAAAAAAAAATAAATAGTTCAAAGTCTCTTTAAAATATTCAGTCTGTTAACTGTGTTAACTGTGGCTTCCTGTAAAATCGAAAACAAGTTACTAACCCCCCCACCCCCACTCCGCTCTCCAGACAGGCTATCCTAGAACTCTCTCTGTAGAGCAGGCTGGCCTCCAACTCATAGAGATCTGCCTGCCTCTAACCAACACCTCCACCCCACCCTGCTCAGATTAAAGGCATGTGCCACCATTGCCTGACACAAGTTACTTTCTTACTACTAATGAGAGAAGAACCAGGGCAGTTGCAATCAAATCATAGCAAAACCAACATCAGTGGTGTAAATCAAGTCTTCAGCTCAGTGTCTGACATTTGGGACTCACTTTGGTCTCCAGGGCTCCAGGGAACTTGGGCAGCTTCACCTCTCCAGTTCTGCCATTGGTAGCACACACAGCTGGTCTCATAGGCACAGGCCAGCTCTGCTGCACATCTGCCACTGCCGTCTGTGGTCATCTCACGGTCCTGGCATATACAATATGCTAGGGTCTCTGTGGCAGCTGAGGTTGCACTTTACCAGTTGCCTCCTAGCCTCTTTTTAGGAACTGACTCCCATGGTACCAAGCCTTAGCCTCACTTCATGACCTTTCAGTCCTGGAGTTTCCAGTGACTAAGGCTGTACTTTCACCAATGGCCTCTCCTGGCCTTTCACAGTGCCAAGCCTCAACTCTTCTCCATGACCCCTTTAATTCTGTAGCCTTCATGCCACCCAAACCAGTAGTACGGTGTGGGACTTTGAAATCTATACCAAGTTTGGCTGCCAGTTTTAGATGTAGCCTTAATTAAACCATAACTTATAACTTCTAGACCATAACTTCTGTGTACCAACCCTGAGGAAATACTTGAGATTTCACCTCAGTGATGCTGGTCTCCTCTTCATCACAGTTGATTCTCCATCCCTAGCTAAGCAGCATCCATTGTTCCATTGAAGCACAGGTTTCTCATCCACAGACTGCTGTTGTGTGAGACAGGGTCTCTCTGTGTAGTCGTAGCTGTCCTGGAACTCATTCTATAGACCAGGCTGGGCTCAAACTCACAGAGGTCCACCTGCCGCTGCCTCTCTGCCTCTGCCTCCTCAGCGCTGGGACAAAAGATGGGTGTGTGCCACCATGCCTGGCTTTGGTTCATAGATTCTCTGTGCAGCTCTGGAGCCTGTCCTGGAACTCACTCTGTAGACCAGGCTTTCCTGGAACTCACTCTGTAGACCAGGCTGGCCTCGAACTCACAGAGATCCGCCTGGCTCTGCCTCCCGAGTGCTGGGATCGAAGGTGTGCGCCACCACCCGGCCCATAGATTCTTCTTTTTAAAAGAGTTGTTTTATTTTTATTTTATGTATATATGTGAGTGCCTGCATGTATGTCTATATACCACATGAATGCCTGGTGCCCGTGGAGGCCTGGTGCCCGTGGAGGCCTGGTGCTGGAGCACCTAGAACTGGAGTTACAGGCAGTTAGTTGTGAACTGTCTGATGTGAGTGCTGTGTCCACAGATTGTGATTATTAATCCAGAATAGCAGAGTAGCACATAAATGGCCGGGTAGTCTTGGTTTCCCTCTGAAACTTCACAGGCCAGGCTTCCAGCCTTTGCATAGTTCTCAGCATTGTCTTTTTATTTATTTATTAAGGTTTGTTTATTCATGTATTTTATGTGTACACCAGAAGAAGGAATCTGATCCTGTTACAGATGGTTGTGAGCCACCATGTGGTTGCTGGGAATTGAACTCTGGACCCCTGGAAGATCAGTCAAGTGCTTTTAACCACTGAGCCATCTCTCCAGCCCCTCAGCATTATCTTCTAAGCTCTGCCCAGAACAGCCCATTAAGCAATAAGCATTCAGTGGCTTTTGTCCCAGCTCAAAAGTTTCAAATGCTTCCACAGTCCTCCCCCAGATCAACATGGTCAGCTCTGTCACAGAAGGATCCTATTTTCTGCTGCAAATTTGTAATAGGGTTCTCTAGAGGAACAGAACTGATACGATGAATATGTGTTAAAAGAATTTATTATTCAGTTTACGTTAAGATAGTAATGGATTGTCTCATATCTGCAAGGCTAAGAACCTAGTAGACGCTGTCTTTGTGGTTGGAGAAGTGGACAACGTGGTAGTTGTCAGTCCACTGAGGGCAGTGCTACCCCAGGGCAGGTTGTGCCATGTTGGGTAAGAAAACACACTGAGCCAGGCGGTGGTGGCGCACGCCTTTAATCCCCGCACTCGGGAGACAGAGGCAGGCGGATCTCTGTGAGTTCGAGGCCCGCCTGGTGTACAGAGCGAGATCTAGAATAGGCTCCAAAGCTACACAGAGAAACCCTGTCTCGAAAAAACCAATCAACCAACCAAACAAACAAACAAAAAACCACACTGAGCAAGCCATGGAAAACAAGCCGGTAAGCAGTGTTCCTCTGTGGTATCTGCTTCAGTTCCCGCCTTGACTTGCCTCAGTGATGGAGTGTGATCTCGGAGTTATTAGATGAAATAAATCCTTTCTTCCCCCGGTTGGTTTTGGTCAGTGTTTAATTATAGCAACAGAGTAGCAAACTAGGACAGTGGGTAAGGGCAGTTTTGTGAAGGAGGATCTATAGGGAGGTAAGGGAATGGCTTTGAGTAGCTGGGGTTCTTTTGTTACAGTGATAGAACTCTATTCTTTCACAGGCATCCTGCACTTCTGGGTTTATATCTTTGAATCTTGAGGGTGGTGGTTGCCTCAAACTGAGTTTGAAGATTGGCAGAGGGTCCAGATATTTTGCATTTTCACAGACATTTGATGTTACTTGAAGGTCAAAAGGACTAGTCTTAAAAAGAACCATTATGTCTAAATAAACGATTACTTTGTATGACATCTCTATTCCTCTCCAATCTACTTCAGGTAAGCCAGTGGTATGAGCTCGTGGTGTTTACAGCAAGCATGGAAATTTATGGCTCTGCTGTGGCAGATAAACTGGACAATAGCAGAAGCATTCTTAAGAGGAGATACTATAGACAGGTAAGGAGCCAGAATCAGGTCTGAGAGGCAGGTGGCCTGGGTCCTGGGTGGGGGTGGGGTGGGCATGGGGTGGGAGGTGCTCCATTGCCAGAATCAGGTCTGAGAGGCAGGTGGCCTGGGTCCTGGGTGGGGGTGGGGTGGGCATGGGGTGGGAGGTGCTCCATTGCCAGAATCAGGTCTGAGAGGCAGGTGACCTGGGTCCTGGCTGGGGGTGGGGTGGGCATGGGTGGGGGGTGCTCCATTGCCAGAATCAGGTCTGAGAGGCAGGTGACCTGGGTCCTGGCTGGGGGTGGGCATGGGATGGGGTGTGCTCCATTGCCCTTTGCCTTTCAGCACTGCACTTTGGAGTTGGGCAGCTACATCAAAGACCTCTCTGTGGTCCACAGTGACCTCTCCAGCATTGTGATCCTGGATAACTCCCCCGGGGCTTATAGGAGCCACCCAGGTACGGGCAGAGGTGGTGAGTCTGGCAGGACCAGGAAGTGGTGCTGAGGACTTTGAGTTTTGTTTCTTTTTTCTGAGACAGGGTCTCCTTATAGAACCAGACTGGCCTGACCTGACTTTGTTTTAGTGGTTCTGGGGATGGAGCCCAGGGCCTCTCACTAAATCCTAGGCAAGCACTATGCTGTTTAGCTCTACCCCTAGCTCCTTGACTCCTTGAGGGGTGGAATGCAAGGAGCTAGGAGGCAGAAGACCCCGGTCCTAGTCCTAGAGTTTGGACTCCTACTGAATTACAAGTCTGAATGTGAGTTGTTTCTCATCAAATGAGGTCGCCACACTTAGGTGTCTGTCCTATAAATGGAACTTTCCTATCAAATTCGATTCAAGTGAGGCACAGTGGCAGTGTGACCAGAACTCTAGCCTCATACTGTTGTGAAGTCTATTCATAATTCAGTTTGACATTTAGAGAGAAGTAAGTGTTTTACTTGGTTGGTGACTTTTGGTGGGTGAGGTATATGGGTTTTTAAGTAATAATATTAGGGACAAATTCACAGGCTTTCTTGAATTCTTCACCTCTTCTCAACTGTAATTTTACCCACCCTAGACAATGCCATCCCTATCAAATCCTGGTTCAGTGACCCCAGTGACACAGCGCTTCTCAACCTCCTCCCAATGCTGGATGCCCTCAGGTAAGGGAAGTCACCTGTATGTAGGTACTTCCTGATCTTTTTTTTTCTTGTTTTTTTTTTTTTTTTTTTCGGGACAGGGTTTCTCTGTGTAGTTTTGGTTCCTGTCTTGGATTTCACTCTGTAGACCAGGCTGGCCTCGAACTCACAGAAATCTGCCTGCTTCTGTCTCCCGAGTGCTGGGATTAAAGGCGTTCACCACCACCGCCCTGCATTTTTTCCTCTTTTTAAAAGTTTTTTTGAGACAGATTCTTTCTCTGTAGCCTCTGCTGGCCTGGAACTTAGTTTCCTGGCTTAGCTTCCCAATTGCTAGCTGGGGTTACAGGTGTACCACCATATCTAGCAACACTTGAGTGGCCAAACTAAGGAGCTAGGGGGAGTTTCAAAATAATTAGAAAAAAAAAAAGCCCTTCAGGACTTCAGGCCGGGTCTTTTTAACTAACTCCAGAGCTCGATGTTTGTGGTCATTTGGCTTCTATCCAGTTGAGCCTGTGTCACTGTTGGAAGTGGTTTTGAGCCCCCCAACTCCATTGTGAAGATATCAACTGTTAAGGTGCTCCACCAATGCAAGTTCCTGTCATTCCAGGTTCACTGCTGATGTCCGTTCCGTGCTGAGCCGAAACCTGCACCAACACAGGCTCTGGTGACGGCTGCCCCCCCTCCACCTGAGCTGGGGTGGGGGGGAAAGGGAGGGAGAACTCTTGGGATGCCGTCTGTTGCCCTGTCCAATGTGAGGACTGCCCGGGCAGGGTCTGCCCCTCCTACCCCTCTCTGCCCTCGGAGCCCTGCACTCCACTAATGGAGTCTGGATGGACACATGGGCCAGACGGAAGCAGCCTCACTCTTCGTGTTCACACTCCATGGACATGCCGGCCTGGACAGGGGAGGCCTTGGAGAGCTCAGCTGTCTGGTGGAGAAGGCAGGAGTGGCCTGAGTGACAGACGTGTCATCCCAGAGGCTCAACAGAAGCCAAGTCAACTTTGTTGTGATTTGATTTTTTAAAAACTCTTGTACAAAACCGATCTAATTCTTCACTCCTGCTCCAAGGGCTGGGCTGTGGGTGGGAGCCTGGGATTTTGGGCCACCGGATCTTCCTCAAACTTGTCCTTCCCTTACTTTTCCTCATTTTTTCTTCCCCCAAACTCCCTGATACCTGTAATCAACTTTCTCTTTTCTTTCTTCCTCTTTTAAACCATGCATTATAACTTTGAAACCAAAGTTGCCATAGGTCCTTCTCTGATGTTTTTGAAAGCAGAGGGAACTTGTTCACATCCGCCCTGCCCCAGAATCAGGGGGAAGATGCTGTTTGAGTTGTGGGGAAGTGGGATTCAGTAGAGATAATGTAGTTTGGCAGGAAAAGCCCCAGGGATAGGATGGGGGCTCTGAGGAACAGTGGAACAGTAGGACATAGAAGGCTGAAGATGAGAAGCCTGGATCCTCCAAAGAGCTCAGACAGCAGGAGGAAGGCAGGGCTTGGTCTGGGAGGCTGACGTGGACAGGCTAAGAGGGCGCTGCCTATGGGCCATTGGCACTCCTGCGGTAAGCTTGGGGCGGAACACTACCGCCTCCCTGACACCGCCTCTACAGAGCCGGACCTACTTTCTGGTACCCGCCACGTGATGCTCCGCCTTTTCTGAGATCACATGATTTTGTATGCGCCATCTCAAAATGTGTTCCTCCGCATTGGCGTAGTCCCTATCTTTTGGACTTTGTAGTTCCTATTGGTCCACTGAACCCCGATCCCTGGGCGTTCTGTACGTGTCTGCAAACCTCTTTCCTTTCTGCCCTTTGATTGTGGGGTCTGTATCCACGTCTTGGGTACTATTTTGTTTTGGTGTCAACGGCCGCCTTCAGCGTAGCAACCCGTTTCGTGAATACCTTGACTTGTAATTGTTTGCTTTCCCCTACGTAATTTACGAAAAGAACTGGAAACCCAAATCGCATGACGGCCACCTGCTACCCCATTTCGTCCTCAACTGCGTGCTGCGAGGCTACCGGAGAAAGGATTTTCAGTTGATTTGAAACGACTGTAACCTTCGCTGCGATGTCATCAGCGTAACCCACAAATTGATTCCAAAGCGGTTACGCTGAAGGCGTGAGAGGGCCGGGCAGCGGGTGGCGCTACGCCAACGGCGTTAGCAAGCTGAGCTAGTGGCGTACTTCAGCAGGCGGGGCCGCTCCGGATGGTCGGGGGCGGGGTTGGTGAATAGGGAAGTGGCGCAAATTGGTGGATCGCTCCGCTGAGTCTGTTCATCGAAGCCGCCGCCACCTCCGCCGCCGCCCCCTGTCCCGGCCCCCCCCCTGGGTTTCCTCAGCCCAGCTCGGTCCAGCCCGGTTCTCGGGAGAATGAAGTTCGTGTACAAAGAGGAGCATCCGTTCGAGAAGCGCCGCTCTGAGGGCGAGAAAATCCGAAAGAAATACCCAGACCGGGTCCCGGTAAGGACTGTATCCAGGGCCGAGGCTCAGGGTGCTGACGCTGACGCCACAAGCTAGGCTTGAGTCTGGGAAAGCGGAGGTCAGCCTCTAGTCTGTCGTGGGCTTAGGAATCTGAAACTGCTGTCTCTAATACCGGGGATGAGAAGCTCGTAGAAGTAGAGCTGGGACTGAGATGTGGACGGGAGAGAGAGGGAGAGACCTTGGCGTTTGTCAGAATGGAGGCCTTGGGGAGCTTGACAACCAGGACTTCCATGGCCATCCTCTCAGCTACTTAGATTTAAGGTAGAGTTTGACCCAAACAAGTCATCCTGATTCTCTGATGAAAATAGTTATTATGATGTGCCGTTCTGTGATCAGTACTTAAATATTTAGGTAAGCCAGTGAGGCCAGGATCTCTGGACTCAGTGCTGCGTGCACCACGTATATAAGAATAAAGAGAAACGAGGTTGCAGTGGGTTTCAGGACAGGGAATATCTTGACTTCTTCATCCATGTGGCTGTATTTTTGGCGTTTTCTCATTCTTTTCTTCTTCTTTTCATCAGGTGATAGTGGAAAAAGCCCCCAAAGCTCGGATAGGAGATTTGGACAAAAAGAAATACCTGGTGCCTTCTGATCTTACAGGTGGGAACGAGATGCCCGATGCAGGTTTCCTTCTGTGGGTGGGAATGCCATCTCTGTGGGAGGAGGCTTCACCTGGCAGCTGTTTTCTGGAGCACTGATGACCTCTGTGACTTTCTTGCATCTCCTGTTTTTGGCAGTTGGTCAGTTCTACTTCTTGATCCGGAAGCGAATTCATCTCCGTGCTGAGGATGCCTTGTTTTTCTTTGTCAACAACGTCATCCCACCCACCAGTGCCACGATGGGTCAGCTGTACCAGGTATAGTGCCTTGGGAGTAACGGGAGTGCGTGGAGAGGGGTCCCGGCCAGCTGGGATAGAAGGAAGCAAAGGTCAGCAGTCCCTGCACTAGCTGTCCTACTAGCTTTAAAATGTCGCTGTGGTCCTGAGTGGTTGGGATTTTAACAGCAGTGGGAGGAGAGAGCGAGCACTAGTTGGGAGTAGCTGGGGTTTTTGTTGTTATTTTCGAGACAGAGTTTCTCTGTGTGGCCCTGGCTGTCCTGGAACTCACTCTAGACCAGGCTGGCCTTGAACTCACAGCCTGCCCCTGCCTCCCAAGTGCTGGGATCAAAAGTGTGTGCCACCACCCACCGCCCGGCTTGGAGTAGCTGTTTTGATTGGGATTCTACTACCCAAGTCTCTTTCCCTCATCCAAGATGTCATAACAATTTGAGACAAGGTTCCTCTGTGTAGCCCTGGCTGTCCTGGAGCTCACTCTGTAGACCAGGCTGGCCTTGAACTCAGAGATTTGCCTGCCTCTGCCTCCAGAGTGCTGGAATTTAAGGCGTGTTTTGCCACATCTGGTTGAAGTTCCCACCTTGAACAACAGATGCATAGCGGTGCACACTTCCAATCCTTTAAGTCAGGAGGCAGAAGCCTGTCTCAATACAATCATCGTTGCTTCTGCACACAGTTTTAATCCCCTCACTCAGAAGGCAGAGGCTGGTGGGTCTCAGAAGCTGTCTCGGGCAGTCAGAGATACATATCGAGACCCTGTCTCAAAACAAACAACGTAAAACCACGGAACACACCTTCAGTCTTAGCACTCTGGAAGTAGAGGCAGGCAGATCTCTGTAAGTTTGAGACCAGTGTGGTCTACATAGGGAGTTAGAGGCCAGCTGGAGTTACATAGTGACACCCTATCTCAAAAGCAAAAGCCCCAGGGAACCCAAACACACACCAAAAATAAAATAAATGAAAACAAGCAAATAAACACTAAGGGCTGAGGCAGTAGTATCTTGAGTTGGAAATCATCTTGGCTACATAGTGAGTTTGAGGTCAACTTTTTTTTGTTTTTTGTTTTTGTTTTTTTTTTTGAGACAGGGTTTCTCTGTGTAGCTTTGTGCCTTTCCTGGAACTCACTTGGTAGTCCAGGCTGGCGAGGTCAGCCTTTCTTAAAGGAGAGAGGAAAATAAGAATGAATGGCTCTTCTTTATTCCTTTAGTATTAGGGTAGTTACCTTACAGATGATCTATTATATTTTAATATATTTCAAGTATATTTTGAATCAGGTTCTTAAGTTGCCTTGGTAGCCCCTAACTTTCAGTCCTTTCCAGAAGCTGGAATTACCAGACCATGCTTAAAAGAATGAGTCTTGAGGAATGTCTTGGTGGTAAATAGTTCAGGTAAATAAATCCAAGTTGTCATTAAACCCTTTTTGGTTTCATTTTAGGAACACCACGAAGAAGACTTCTTTCTATACATTGCCTACAGTGATGAAAGCGTCTACGGTCTGTGAAGCTGCCGTCCCTGAGGTGGGGGTTCCATTCTACAGAGAGAGGTGGCGCTCCTTCCTTGACATCCACTTCCTCCTTCAGGCGAAAACACCATCTCCCTTCTTCAGGACCTGCACTTACATGTTTGAGACTGTTTCTCCAGTCCCTCTCAGCCAGAGGGGTAATGGTGGACACAGTCTCTGTACATCTCCTCTCTCCCCCCTTTTGTCTGCCCTCCATTCCCACTCTGCTTTAGACTTCTTGATTGTCAATCTCTGTCACATCCGTTGATTGTTTTGGTTTCTATTCCCTTTCTAACTGCCCCGCAGGCTCAGAACCCCAACAACCCCTTCCTTTCACTGCCTTCTTTTTGGGGGGTAGATGGAAGGGATTGACATTGTCGGGGGAGGTAGGAGGCACATCAATAAAAAAGAAACCACCGAGCTGAATTGAATTGCCCTGTGTCATTCCACCTCCTGTCTGTCTCAAGTGTCATGAACATCTATGGTGGGAAAGGGAATGGGGATAGGTCAGAGAAACAGAAACACTTTGTTGCTATTTCCCTCTTTGGAAAAAGGTATCTTTTAAATGAGTGGAATAATGTGACCATTATCTCAAGAAACTTGGATTTTATATGTGTATATATTGGGTTTCGATGTAAACAAAGGGGTGGTAGGTTTTACTGGGTTGCTGTGGACAAAGTTTGAAAGTACTTTAGGTAAGCAGATCCAAATTTGTTACTTTGTACTAAAGAAGAGACGTTCCTGTTTGGGAGGTGCTGAAAGAACTGTCTTTAACTGGCTGTCACTTGCAGAGCTTGTGCCAGTGTATGGGATCCTGTAAAGTGGAATTTGAGAGAGGGCAAATACTGGGAGAAGGGTGCCATTATCAGTAGGAGAACTTCATCTCCCAGCAGCCATGTCTCCTCCTGGCCGGAAGTGGGGCGGTTCCCTGAGGGATAAAAAGGTACAAAACGAGGCAGTATGGTGGCCGAGAGTTCTAATCCCTTCTTCGTCTACTGTCTTAGTCCCGCCCAGCCTACACTTCCCGGGATTCAGTGCGCACTCTTCCGCTCTACCCCTCCGGCTCCTGAGCTCCCCACCACTCCCCTGGTGGGGCGGGGGGAGCCTGTTTATTGCGCCTGCGCCAGTCCGTGGCTTACTGGGAACTGAAGTTCCGGAGGATCTTGCAATCCTCTTCCGCTGCCCCTGCACAGACTACAAATCCCTTGGTGCACTGCGCGGCGGAGCCGGCGGGGAGGGGGAGAAGGGAGGGAGGAGAGAGGAGGAGGAGGAGGAGGAGGAGGAGGAGGGAGCAGGCGGCCGGCGGTGCGGGGGGAGGGGGCCCGGTCCGGGAGTGCGGGAGGCAGTGGTAGAGGGAGGTGGCGGTAGCGGACTGGAGTCTCAACCGCGCCAAGGCGGACACTTCGGCGAAGCGAGGCAGTAGGAACACGGAGCGCCCAAGGCAGCACCGGGAATCCCGGCTTAGAGGAGGGGGTCGCCGGACCGGGTGGAGGGGAGGGGGCGATGCTGGAAGCCATGGCGGAGCCCAGTCCCGAAGGTAAGCCGCTCCACAGGCACAGAGGGCAGGGAGAGGGTGAGGATTTAATTGGCAAAGTTGGAGGTCGAGCCCCGGCACCCAGCGGGGGAGTGCGGGAAGAGGGGTCGGGGGCCTGGCTCTTGAGGTTCCCGGGAGAGCGCCGAGTTGAGATACCTTGGAGAAAGAGGAGTGGGAGCCTGGGTCGGGAGAGTTAGACATCGGGCGCGGTGTGGATGGCGGTGGTGGGGTGTCCGGGGATAGGCGCTGGCAACCCAGCTTCGGGGGCTAGGGGCTGGAAAGGCCTCGGAGTGCTTGGCGCTCCGTAGCCGAGAGGCTGGGGGGAATCTGGTTGCCGGAGAGTAGTTGGGAGAGCCCGACGAGGATTGAGTGAGGGGCCCGGTAGTTGGCCGAGGTGGGGGAGTTTGTGACGGTGGCGCTGGAGCGCCTAGTAGTTGCCGCCAGAGATAGCTTGGTGATTGTTAGAGGGGTGGGCAGGTAGTTGTGGGGAGAGCAGAGAGTCTGGGTATTGTCTCCGGTAGAGCCCGATCCCGAGGGCCAGTTGTGGGGCCAGAGAGCTGGGGAGCAGGGCTAGCCCGGTACTTGTAGGGGCGGCGGGGCGAGGTGTGGGGGGTTAAGACCGGCAACTTGCGCGGCGGGAGCGGCGGCGGCGGCGGGGGGGGGGGGGTGGTTGGTCGGTCGGCTAGGGCCGGAGCTTGCGAGTTGTGGAGCGTATTGGGGGGCGGCGGCGGCAGCAGGGGGCTGCCCTGGAGTGTCTGGATGGGGGCCGGGGGCTGGAGTTGAGGGGTCCGTAGCCTAGGGACTCGCCGAGTACGGGGGCGGGCGGGGGGCGGCCGGAGAAGCTCGGAACTGGGCCCGGGGGCCCGGCGGGGAGCCCGGAGAGCTCGAGACGGGGAGGGGCCAAGGCCCCGGATGGGGGCGGAGGGACAGCGAAATTGTGGGGAGCGCGGCGGCGGCGGCGGCGGGGGGGGGGGGGGGGCAGGCGGGGCCGCGTCCGGGTCGCAGCTCGCCGCCTGTCCCGGACGCGAAGTAATGTTGGGAGAGTGTGCCCGTGTGTGTGTCGGGTGGGGGTAAGGGGCGCGCCCGGCCTCGTGTTCGAGGAGAAGCGGCCGGAGGGCGGGGAGCGGGTCAGCGTGGTCCTCCCGGAGCCCGGGGGCGGGCGGCGTGGAGGGCCCCGGGCAGTGGAGCGCGGCCGGTAGGAACTCCGGGCGCGTGTGAAGGACGGGGGCGGGCGGCGGCCCGGGCTCGCCCCGGGAGCGGTATGGCGGGGTGGGGCGCCAAGAGAGCCGAGTTGACTGGAGAGCGGGGAGGGGGCGGGGCGCTGGGCCTCGGGCGGGGGGGAGGGGAGCGCTATAGCGAGGCCGGGGAGGGCGCCGCGCCCGGGCTCCGCCCCTCGGGGCGGAAGGGGGAGCAGGGGCGGGTCCGGCACGGCTGGGGGCTGGCTGGCGGGGCCGGGCCACCGCGCGGTGGATGGGATGAGGTCGGGACCGCCAAGGTTCAGAGGTAGGATTTTCCAGACTCTTTTTTTCCTAGTGCCTTGACTCAGCTTTTATTGATTTCTTTCGCAGATCCACCTCCGACTCTTAAGGCAGAGACTCAGGTGAGCTGTCCCGTGCCTTTGACTAGTACACTGCCTGACAATTTGGGAGCCGGGTTGTTGGGAATGCCTCTCTTTAACCATTCGTGCCTGCCTTCCATTTGACCCACGTTTCCTTCCTTTTAGCCACCAGAGAAGCGGCGGAGGACAATTGAGGATTTCAACAAATTCTGCAGTTTTGTCTTGGCCTATGCGGGTTACATTCCTCCTAGCAAAGAGGTAGGAAACTGAAAAATAGCCGACTTGAGTCAGAGTGAATTACTTTATAGGAAGATCCTACTATAATATGTAAGAGTAAGAATTGGAAGCTTTTAGAGGGCTGTGGTGGGAAAGCTGGTGTGGAAGGATGAAATATGGCAGCTGGCTTGAACAGCAGTAACACAAATTTGGAGTGTTGGTCAGGCTTTTGTTTTAGGGGTCTTGAGTTGCTGTTCGTGGAAAGTTTTCAGGTAAATTGTAAGGAGATAAGTATGCTAGCAAACGAGATACAGAAACTGTTAAAGGAGTAGGCAGGAGGACTGGGGTGAAGGCAGACTTAGAGTACATGGCAGATCTGGGTAGGGACATGTCTAGTTCCTGGTTTTTGTGCTGGACATGTGTCAGGGCTGAGCTGTCCCTAGACTCCTGCTGACCCTAGTCTCTTCCTCCTTTTAAGGAAAGCGATTGGCCAGCTTCTGGCTCGAGCTCTCCATTGCGGGGTGAGAGTGCAGCAGATAGTGATGGCTGGGACTCAGCCCCCTCGGACCTTCGAACTATCCAGACTTTTGTTAAGAAAGCAAAGTCATCAAAGAGAAGGGCAGCTCAAGCAGGTCCTACCCAGCCAGGACCCCCAAGGTCCACTTTTTCTCGTCTGCAGGCCCCCGACAGTGCCACTCTGCTCGAGAAGATGAAGCTGAAGGACTCTCTGTTTGATCTGGATGGGCCCAAAGTGGCATCTCCACTGTCTCCCACATCCCTGACGCATACCTCCCGGTCCCCTGCTGCTCTCACCTCAGTGCCGCTTTCCCAGGGGCACCTTTCTCAGCCTCGAAAGAAGGACCGAAAGAACAGAAAGTTGGGACCAGGAGGTGGGGCCGGCTTTGGGGTGCTTCGGAGGCCTCGGCCGGCTCCTGGGGATGGGGAAAAGCGGTCTCGGATCAAGAAGAGCAAGAAGCGGAAGTTGAAAAAGGCGGATCGTGGGGATAGACTCCCACCTCCTGGCCCTCCTAGGGCACCTCCCAGTGATACAGACTCTGAAGAGGAGGAGGAAGAGGAGGAGGAGGAGGAGGATGAAGAAGAGATGACAGCAGTGGTGGGGGGTGACGTCCCTGTGCTCCCAACACCCCCTGAAGCCCCCAGGCCCCCTGTTACCGTGCACCCCGACGGTGCTCCCCCTACTGACAGTGAGGGCAAAGAGGTGGGCAGCACAGAAACAAGCCAAGATGGGGACGCCAGCTCCAGTGAAGGCGAGATGCGGGTCATGGATGAGGACATCATGGTGGAATCAGGTGAGCAGCTTAGGGCTGCCCAGGGTGGGGAGCTGGGAGGGTGGGTTTGGGGGTTCTTAGGAGCCGAGCTTTAAAGTTGAACACTAAACAAACATCCTTTTTCCAGGTGATGACTCATGGGATCTGATCACATGTTACTGTAGAAAGCCCTTTGCTGGGCGGCCCATGATTGAATGCAGCCTATGTGGGACGTGGATCCACCTCTCCTGTGCTAAGATTAAGAAGACCAATGTTCCTGACTTCTTTTATTGCCAGAAATGCAAGGAACTTCGGCCGGAGGCCCGGCGGTTAGGGGGTCTTCCCAAATCCGGAGAACCCTGACGTCACTCTTGGAGGCTGGAACTTCTGACGTTACTTGGGAACTGAGACTCAGAGTCTTCAGCCTCTTCCAGGCCGGATTTCCCAAGGGAGACTTGTTTGGAAATGAGTGTCTTCTACTCTGTCCTTCCTGCTCCGTGGACTTGAATTAGACCCCTTACAGCTGGGTCGGGGAGGCTGGATCTATAGACAAAATCTCTGTCCGGTGAACCTGCCACCCGTTCACTTTCAGGGCCAGGGCTCAAACTGGGATGTAATGGGATAGTTGTCTATAAAATGTAGTGTAAATACAGCACTCCCTCATGGTTTCTTCTCTTTCACTCCCGTTTACTTTCTTCTACACCAGTAATATTTTTAATTTTGAACTCCCATGTTTGAGCCTGGCGGTTGCTCAAAGGCGGAGTACCATACCTGGTGGAGTGGGGGAGGAGAGCAAAAAGGTGTCAATTATCACTAGCCTCGTTTTTAATAATAATTGGCTGGCTGCCTG